ATATTTTATTCTACAATGATAAAAACGTATCTGTGTGTAGTTTACATTGTAGAAAAGAAAATCCATTTTATTGTCAAATTGTGTTTACCACAGAGCTTATTTCACCAATAAACGAGGAACCAGTGTCGAATTAGACTTTCTGGTTTTGACATCATCCCTGCACCACTTTGAATGTTATGATGCCAAATATTCAGTTGTTGTTTTTTAATACTTTTTATACTTATGAAATATCTCGGACACCATTTTGTTACCAGTTGTTGTTGTTGTTGGTGTTGTATTCTTTTTAGTGGTCAAATCACTTAATCACGATTAATCCCATCTAACATGAAAGTTTGTATATCATATGTGTGTACATATACACACACTATATTGCCAAAAGTTTTGGGACGTCTGCCTTTACAAGCACATGAACTTTAATGACCCCATTATTAATCCATAGGGTTTAATATGGAGTTGGCCCACCCTTTGCTACTATAACAGCTTCAACTCTTCTGGGAAGGCTTTCCACAAGGTGTAGGAGTGTGTTTATGGGAATTTTGGCCATTCTTTTAGAAGCGCATTTGTGAGGTCAGGCACTGATGTTGGACCTGGATAACAGTTTCTAATTCATCCCAAAGGTGTTCTATCGGGTTAAGGTCAGGACTCTGTGCAGGCCAGTCAAGTTCCTCCACACCAAACTCTTCATCCATGCCTTTATGGTCCTGCTTTGTGCACTGGAGCACAGTCATGTTGGAACAGGAAGGGGCCATCCCCAAACTGTTAAGTGTGAAGTTTGGTGGAGGGGGGATTATGGTGTGGGGTTGTTTTTCAGGGGTTGGGCTCACCCCCTTAAGTTCCAGTGAAAGGAACTCTTAAAGCCTCAGCATACCAAGACATTTTGGACAATTTCATGCTCCCAACTTTGTGGTAACAGTTTGGGGATGGCCCCTTCCTGTTCCAACATGACTGTGCACAAAGCAGGACCATAAAGGCATGGATGAAGAGTTTGGTGTGGAGGAACTTGACTGGCCTGCACAGAGTCCTGACCTTAACCCGATAGAACACCTTTGGGATGAATTAGAGCAGAAACTGTTATCCAGGTCCAACATCAGTGCCTGACCTCACACATGCGCTTCTAAAAGAATGGCCAAAATTCCCACTCCTACACCTTGTGGAAAGCCTTCCCAGAAGAGTTGAAGCTGTTATAGTAGCAAAGGGTGGGCCAACTCCATATTAAACCCTATGGATTAATAATGGGATGTCATTAAAGTTCATGTGCTTGTAAAGGCAGACGTCCTTACACCCACATGCGCACACATATAATATATATATATATATAAATATATAATTATAAATATAATATATATACACATATAAACACAAACTTTTATGTTAAGATGTTATTAATCAACTTGACAGCACTAATTATTTTATGTATTTATTACTTGCAGAGTTTGTAGTTTTTACTACAATTCAAAATGTGCTTTATTGTTCTCAGTTTAGGGAAAGATTAGTAAATGTTTTTTAGTTCCATAAATGTTTGAAATGGAATTGGCAGTATTGAATTTAATGTTTGTCAACTGAGCACTTTAGCCTGTATGTTTAGTTTGTGCAGATTGTTGTGAAATAAAAGCTAATATCTCTTTTCATTTGTGTTTTTATGTGATTAATACACACCAGTAAATAATTTTGTTAACCTCAGTATAAAATTTAGTACAGCAATTTTTAGTTAAGCCCAAATAATAAATCCTGATTAAAACATTTTAGTTGAATGAACTATAAAACTAGTTGAGCAAACATACTTTTTTAAGTTGGAGTCAAGTTTGGACCAACTAAAACTTTTAGTTGAATGAACTAAAACTAGTTGAGCAAACATACTTTTTTAAGTTGGAGTCAAGTTTTGGCCAACTAAAAAATAATAATTGAAGCAACACTTTGAAGAGAGAAATTGAGTGAACGTAAAAATTCTGTGGAACTAGTTACTAAATAATAATTAGTTGAGACAACTTTAAATTTTTTACAGTGTGTAGTTTATTACTGTAAATGAATGAAAGCTTACTGTAAAGTGTTATCAAAACATTAGGTTAAATCTAGACAGAATTTGGCATATTAGAATAAATTATATATATAGTAATATGAAATTTAATTATAGTTTTTTTTATAATTATTTATAAATTAAAATTATATTTCTGCATTTTTTTATAATCATTTTATTTTATAATTGGAAATGTTATTGCAGTATTTAATTAAAGCTATTCTATTACAGTATTGAGAAGTTAGGTGCACATAATGTCACATTGCCAGAAACCTTTTTTTTTTTTTTTTTTGCCATAAATGTTATGCATTTCCCTTGACATTTTTGTCCTTTTTCCCCTGAAGCAACACATGAGCAGTCAAAACAATCCGTAACGAAAAAAGCCTTACCTCGAGTGAACTTCGTCAAATCAAAAAGCTGTATTTTTTTTTTTTTTTTTTTTTTGCAAATAGAGCATCTTTGTCAGCTATTTTAATGCAAGGAAATGGATTCAAAATGGCTTGAGGCTTGTACCCTGCTTAGAGTGTTACTTATGCTCTTGTCATAAAATATTCAAGGCTCATGCTTATATGAAATTGAAATTACTGTTAAAACTAATTAGCACATTAACGACTGCCAACCCGAAACCATCTGTACTCAGTATAATTCTCTGCTGTTTTCCGATGCTGGAAATCTGATAAATTCTGTGGACAATTCTCAAGGTGAAATTGGGTGAGCAATCTTGATGTCACTTCCCCTCCCCCACACTAACAGGATATCTCTGCGTCTAATGAATTAATGTCTCATTTCATAAAGACATTAGTCCACTGATCCTCTTAGTGGAGATCAGACGGTTGGTGTAACTGCTTTCTTCATATTTAGTCATACTGACAGCAGCTTTTAAAGGCAATTCTTCCAATGATTGGGCAAAAGATAGTACCACCCCCCACTCACTATTGGTTGATCCAGTGTTGCTGTGTGGCGGGCTGTTTGGGAGGAAGGCAAGTGTTAAAAGTGTCACAGAATCAGTGTTATCATTGTTAACTAAACTATTAAATATCGTTTTTGTAATTGAAATAAAATAAAATAGAAATAGCTATTAGATGTAAAACTGACAGCTGTTGAAATAGCTAACTGACTAGTTGATAACTAACTGAAATAAAATGAGTTGAAGTTCTAAAATTACTAAAACTGAAATAGATATAAATGAAAGCTAAATCGAAATAGAATAGAAATATTGGATGAAAAACTTAAATTAGAACTGTTGCCCTGGCAGCTAACTGAAATAAAATGAAGTACTAAAACCGAAGTACAACAAATAGATATGAATTAGAAATATTGGATAATAATGGCCTTGGCAACTGAAATAATATGAGTTTAAATACTAAAATTAATAAAACTGACATAGATATAAATTAAAGCTAAATAGAAATATTAGATACAACTTATACATTAGAACTGTTGCCTTGGCAACTAACCGGCGGAATAAAATGAGTTGAAGTACTAAAATGACTAAAACTGATATAAATTAAAGCTAAACTGAAATAAAATAGAAATATTGGATAAAACTTACATTAGAACTGTTGCCTTGGCAACTAACTGAAATAAAATTTAAACTAAAATTACTAAAACTGAATTAGATAAAAGTGAAAGTTAAATAGAAATATTTGCTTATATTTATAAAATATTTGCGTATTGAACTGAGCTTTGAGAAAAATGTTGTAACAGAGGAATTATACCTTTCTAAACAGATTCTTTGAAGAAAAGCTTCTATGTAGAACCTTAAAGGTTTCTGTCACGCGCTTCATAGAACCTTTTAGGGGTTCCCATCATGGAATCATTTTATGAATTTAGTCTTAATTCATTTTTAATAAAATTTTATGACTTAAACAGCTCGTAAACATACTTGATAACTAGGGGGAAAATGAAATAACCCATTAAACATGAAAGTATTATGCAATCATTTAAGACATTTCTCCAGAGTCCTTATTGAGTCTAGAACCCATTTGTACCTTTTTTTTTTTTAATAGAGTGCAAAGCTTAGTGTGGAATAACCTTGCTATCCAAATATCCTGTGGGGGGTGATGAAATGAAAGTGTGATATGAGTGGGCGTGTTGAACACCCTCAGTGGGACTGGTTTTCAGGAACGCTCCGCTGATAGAGTCTGCTAATGGGATGTTTCACGCAGAAACTGTTTAAATCAACTCATCTGAATTTCACAATGTTGTTTTGGAGCAGACAGTATTCATCTTTCTAAAATTGTGATTCATTTTATATCAAAACTCATAGCAGAATATCAAGACCAACTTTCAATTTCCAATTTAATGTGCGTTTCGGAAATGCCTTGTAAAATATTGTTTTCCACTAAAAATATCTAAATATACAAGATTTGAAGGTTTTAACAAATTTCTTTGAGAAGCAATCAATACTAAGATTTGATTTAAGATGATATTTTGATTTAAGCAAGCATAAATAATACACTATACCGTTCAAAAGTCTGGGAGTTTTTTTTTTTTTTTTTAAATTTGATCCAAAGTGACATTTATAATGTAAAAAAAAAAAAAGATTCTGTTTCAAATAAACGGTCTTCTTATTAACGTTGTATTTATCAAAGAATCCTGGAATGTATCGCAGTTTTCACAAATATTTTACGCAGCACAACAGTTTTCAACAAATTCAGCTTTGCCATCACAGGAATAAATTACATTTTCAATTTTACTTTGTAAAAAATATTGCACAATATTTACTGTACTTTGTATTCAAATAAAGGCAGCCTTAGTAAGAATAGACTTATTAAAACATTTAAAATAAACTTCTGAATGGCAGTGCACATAATAATAATTCTTTAAATTCTAATAAAGAAAAATAAACATAATTCAAGAAATATATTATTACTGGAAATTGAGATACAAATCTAAATATCCAGGTAACAAATAAGTTACTTCTACAAGATACTTACAGTAAACTAACTGAATTCACGACTGGTCTTGTTATGGTTTATTGCAGATCTGTGTAACTGGAGGAACAAAGACGGGAGTTTTATAGTTGTCCTCAGTCATGCAGAAGGTAAAGTACTGTATGTTGAATTCATATCATCTTGTTGCCATGAATCATTGATCTCCAAACATAGGGTTTCTGAAATATTTATATAGCTTTAAAAAAAAAAAATCTCATACAGTATGTGTATACTAATCTATATTTTAGTTCTGTCCAATGTAAACCCATTAAAGCGTGATCATATCTGTACGGGGTTGATGATTTCACTTAGTGAGAATGGAAAGGGGGCGTGGCCGAGTGACAGACATCATCAGTTTGATTGATGACATTAGATATAGGTCTTATTTCTCATTAACAACATGTCATTGGATAGGAGCAGTTAAATTATGACCTCTGACCTTTTTTTTATCTGCTCCGCCGCTGCAGGCAGGGACGGCCCCGTCTTCCCGGGGTCCAAGTGCTCCTGGATCCCCAGCCACCTCTATTGTGGTAAGTCAAACTAGCATGGCCGCTCAATAGCTTTCAGTTTCACAGATAACACATTCCGTTCTGTTATCTTTCATAAAGCACATGCTCAATATCCCAGTTCCTAGGAACCCCTCGAGGCATCTCAGAGGACAACCACTTCTTTCACGCCAAACTGAACTCAGCCTCTTTCTGTTTAACTCCCCAAAGGCACGGATGGACAATCAGGTCATTGGATATAAGGACTTGGCAGCCATTCCCAAAGACAAAGCCATACTTGAGGTAGAACGGCCAGATCTGATGGTGTACGAGCCGCATTTTAATATCTCAGCCCTGGATCGGACGGGTCTCTCCAGAAGCAGAGAGGTCAGGGAACAACCAATCGAGTCTTTGTTTCATTGTAGCGTCTGAGAAGGGCTATTGTACGTTTTACAGCTTCCACTTAAAGTAGAATCAAAATGTGTTTTGGCAAACAGGGAGCTGTGAGATGTAATGTTAACTTATATTAGTCAAGCTTTGTTATGTAAAAGTGGCATTTGAATGTCAGGCCTTGAAGACGAAGCATGAACTGTATGTGTGTGTTCTGTTTTCTCTCCTTGTCTTCTCCAGAGATCAATGTCACCTCACTCCATCTCGCCGCCTCCTTCCCCTGAGGTGAGACACCAGGACGGTCGCTAGTCACTGATCACTGAGCACGTTTACCTCCCTGCACACTTCACATGTGACGCTTTTACTGAGACACTCATTTAACTGAACGACGCCGCCATTTTAAATGACATTCACTTTCAGTTCTGTATCTTAATTATAGCGTGAATATGGCACAGTGTACTTTAATTTAATTCATATTATTATATTCTATTTATATATTATATCCATAATTATATCCATATTATATTTAAAAAAAATGTTTTTTAAATAGTATTGAATTTTAGCATCATCCATTTATTGGTTATTGGCCAGAACATGAAAATAATCAGACCAAATTTTTAAATGATTTAATTTTGATTCATTATAATTAATAATATGAATAAGATTATTATATTGTAATATTTTTTAAAATGATGAATAATAGTTAATACTGAATGTGAATTAATAATGAATTATTAACATTATTAATCTTAATAATTAAAATGAAGTCTTTATTCACTGTGTAACATTATAAATTTGTATTAATTAGTATATCATACTATATTATTATAATATTGTTGTACTATTTCATATAAATATGAATTAATATTATTATTATAATTTAATTTAATGTATTTAATTTACATATATTTCAGTGCAGACACATGATCTAATCATTATTTAGCTGATCTCAAAATAATTATCCACGTATTATCCATATTATATTTCATTTGAGTTTTTTGTGTGTTTTTTATTAAAATCCTATAGAATTTTAATATTGGACACTTATAATAATTAGCAGCAGCTAGAATTTGAATGTCATGAATTTTAACATGATTTCATTTTTATTTATTATAATAATACTATTCATTATCATATAATATTGTTATATTTTAAATATTGTATGTGAATATTAATTAAATCTATTAATTAACATTGTTATTTATAATAATTCAAATGTAGTCTTTCTCCACCGATTAATATGAGTAATTTGTAGTATAATTAATACTGCTTTTTATCAAATATTGTAGTATAATAATAATCTTGTAATATTAAATATTAATAATATTAACTATTAAAATTATCGCTTATTATTAATGCTTTAATTTAATGTCTTTAATTCACATTATTGTGATGCAGTCAACATTATTCAATAAATCATTATTTAGCAGATATCAAAATAATTATCCACGTATTATCCTTATATTTAATTTTAGTTTTTAGTGTATTATCTTATAAAATAATCTAATGTATTGAATAATAATAATGTAATGTATTGATTTAATATCAGTCACTCACTGAAAATAATTAGCATATTGGAATTGTAATATTGTCCACTGTTATTTAATTCAATGTGAACTTACTCTAGAACATTGAACAGTGGAATCAAACGTTAGCATATTTTACTGTAAGGCATGAGTTTGCAGTGTCATATTATTGATGCAGGCAGTGAAATACGATGGTCTGGCTTCTGTTAACATGCTGAGTGCTTAAATTGTGTCCACTCTTAACATCGGGATTGAAACATGAATTTATATTACCATAAGCCAGTGCTTCATTATTAGCATTCCAGAATAATAGAAGGTATATGCAATTCCCCTGTTTCTTTAGATATTTGCCTCAAAAGAGTGGCCAGAGCAGGGGTCTCCAGGAGGGTCCAACATGGGCTCCACGGTGCACCTCCGCAAAATCAGCCCTGCCTCCAAAGGCCCCATGCAGCACTTCCACAGGCCAGGTGCTTCGTTCATCACAGGGTTCTTATAGCACAATGTTTCATAATCATTCAAATGTGTTGTAACTGTCCACCTTGTTGTAACTGTTTCAGACAGTGGCATCAACATCTATAAGAAACCACCAAATTACAAACACGGTATTTGTGCATTTATAATGTTTGTTATAAATCATAGATTACTGGTTTTCCAAGGTGTGAGGACAGATTCACTGGTAACGTCCTGATGTTTATCTTCTCCCTGTCCTCAGAAAGAGAGACTGGAATGTCTCATAATAAACAGGATGTCATCATTGAGTCCTCCAAGTTCCCAGCAGCCCAACCACCTGATCCCAACCAGCCTTCAAAGATAGAGACCGAGTACTGGCCCTGTCCACCCTCTCTAGCTACTATGGGTAAATGCTCACCAGCTTTCATATTTCTGTCGCATTGGACAGTTAGCCCCGCCCTCAATGACATTTTCTTTGGTCTCCTGCTCCACACTGCTGTATATTGAAGGTAAAAACTGGCATTTTTTTCCCATTCTGTTATTGCACCTTTAGAGAAGCATGCAGAATTACAGAAACTAGTTAACTTTTTAGCATATACGTTTCAAATTTGGAGTCTCTAACTCAATCCCTCTAGCGCCATCAACTGTCCAAATTTGCACTTATAACTTTTACCTTAAAGGGTTAGTTCACCCAAAAATGAAAATTCTGTCAGTAATTACTCACCCTCATGTTGTTCCAACCCCGTAAGACTTTCGTTCATCTTCGCAACACAAATTAAGATATTTTTGATTAAATCTGAGAGCTGGATCACTCCTCCATAGGCTTCTTAAGGGATCGAAACTGACCGGCCCAAAAGTTATGAAAGACATCGTTAAAATAGTCCGAGTGACTACAGTGGCTCAACCTTAAGTTTATCAAGCGACGAGAATACTTTTTGTACGCAAAGAAACAAACAAAAATAACGACTTTATTCAACTAATCATTTCCTCCTCTGTGGGCCTCGAGATTTCACGTAGTGATATTGCGCAAAGCTGAAGTTGTACTTCACACGTAGGCTCACTATTGGCCGACGCTGGTCATGTGTGTGATGCGTGACGTACAACCTAGAAGCTTTGCGTAGTTCTACGTGAAATATCACGGCCGTACAGAGAAGGAAATGATTAGTTGAATAAAGTCGTTAGTTTTGTTTGTTTCTTTGCGTACAAAAAGTATTCTCGTCGCTTGATAAACTTAAGATTGAGCCACTGTCGTCACTCGGACTATTTTAACGATGTCTTTCATAACTTTTGGGCCGGTCAGTTTCGATCCCTTAAGAAGCCTATGGAGGAGTGATCCAGCTCTCAGATTTAATCAAAAATATCTTAATTTGTGTTGCGAAGATGAACGAAAGTCTTACGGGGTTGAAACAACATGAGGGTGAGTAATTACTGACAGAATATTCATTTTTGGGTGAACTAACCCTTTAAGGGCTAAATAACATTTTTTCCTCTCATTCCTTGGCTCAAAACGATTCGATTGCATCCTATGACGCAATGTTTGTCTGAATTTTCATCAAAAGTGCCTCACATTATCTTCAGATCATGCTGGGAAAAAGTTATTTAAAACTCTTTTGATAGACCAAAACGTTCTCGAATAACGTGCGAACGAATTTGACGAAGAGCACGTCAAAATAGATGTATTATTGCTATATTGCTGCAATGCTTTAGCGTATTTTTCAGACCAAAGTTGGTATATGTCATCACAAGCATGACCTGAGGCTACCTACAGCGTTTTGGCACAGCGCCACCTACTGGCCAGGAGATATGATAAATGGATATATTTGTGTATAATTTCTGAACAGTTTGACCAAAAACTGTTCTCTTTTAATTCAGTGCAACATACCGAAAGATACCCAGTTTTTTCATATTGACCATTTTGGGCACCGGACGTTTAAAATGTTGTCATAAAGGGCTGTGTTTACAGTATAAACTTACTTAATGCTGTAAACTTTGCGTTGTGCCTTATTAGTAAGTGTACGTTGATTGGTTCAATGCATGCAAAACACTGGCATCCGTCATTTTTAAAAAGCCTTATAAACTCAGTTTATAGCCTATATATTTACTTCGCAAACATGAAAAACAGCGAGGAATGGACCAACGTCGAAGTCCAGCCACTTCTCAGCCTTTACGCTGAGGAAATCCAACGCGACTTTGAAGGGACCGAGCGAAACATTTTTTTGCTCAGCTAGTGACATTCGGCATAACCCACATGACAAACGTTAGAATACTTTTTCGTTTACTGTACTGTCTTTATGTTTAAAAGTTCTATCTAATAACGTATAAGGACTGTTGACTGCGCAAGTGAAGGCTTACATCACTTCAAAGAATGCAACAAAGAAAATGGTCTTGACTTGGGGGAACATTTAGTTCTCGGGGACTCCCCTGGTCTCTCCTATAACTACCCGATGCGAAAGCCCCTTCATTGGTACACGCAGCTCAAGGGCGATACACTTTTTTTTACGTCGTCTGTCAATTCCTCACAGAGATCGAGTGGAGAAAGAAAGCAGCCGAGCAGGGAAAACCAATGGAAGAGGACGATGAGTTTGAGGACCTGACTGAAGATGCAAAGAGACTCCAGGAACAGGAACTCCAGAAGGTGAAAGCAGCTTTCGTCTGGAGCAGGACCCACTGCCCCACATCAATAAATCCTGTTCAGATTAATATCCCTCACTGTCTGCCTGTCTAGAATAAATCAGACGCTGGGCTGGAATATTTTCTCTAAGGCTAGATGATTAAGTGTTTTGTTTTCAGGCCATTAAATGGAAGGGAGTGCAGGAAGGAAATGCACACACAACATGAGGCCAGTGCTTAATGGAGCTCTCTAATCATGACTGGGCTGTTTTTTTCCAGATACAGTCCAACTTGGGAAAATTGATCCTGAAGGAGGAAATAGAGAATTCAGGGCTCATCCGCAGAAAAACACGTTCCTTGCCAGATGGGACAAACATACATTTGGGTATGTGACGTCTGTTTTAGTCTTAGTGCACTTCAACATAGTGAAGTGCTTGAGTATTTGTTTTTGTATGCAAAAAGGATACACTCTTAAAAGTAAATGTGCTTTATTGGCATCTGTGGTTCCGAAAAGAAACTTTAACATCCATGGAACCTTTCCATTGCACAAAATATTATTTGTAGAGGGACAAAAAGTTCTTTAGATTGTTAAAATATACTTTACATTAAGAAAGGTTCTTTGGGGAAGCAAAAATGGTTATTCTATGGCATCACTGCCTCAACCAGCAAGTCACAGAGGACACCCAGTGTTCAAATGATGAAATACATTTGTGTGAACAGAAAGTCTATAGAGAAATGTTTATTGTGCTTATAATTAAATGTTTCATTTCCATGCATTGCAGGATCATCAGCCAGTGCTACTAAATCCGCTTCTTTACCTCCTTGCAGTCGAACAGGCCTCACAAGGGTAAGAGAGATTCACCTTTAAAGGTGTTTTATGCATTTTAATCATAATATGTTCCTCCCCTGCCCAATATTGAAATATAATTGTAATTTAAATATGAATATGAATTACTTAAATTATTCATTTAAATGAAAATGGTCTTTTTACCGATTAATATCATCCATTTTTATTTATAAGGAGTTATTAAGATTATTTATGTCATAATTAACATGCAATCTTTTGCTTATTAATATCCTATTTTTTTAATAATATTAAATATGAATATTTATTATTAGCATTGTTAATTTTAATGATTAAAATATAGTCTTTCTTTACTGATTAATATTATTAATATAATAATAACAATATTTCATTACATTTATATAGCGCTTTTCTCGGCACTCAAAGCGCTTTACATAGAAGGAGGAATCTCCTCAACCACCAGCAATGTGCAGCATCCACCTGAATGAAACATAAACAATTATTTATAATATGAATTATTACCATTATTAATTATAATAATTAACACGCAATCTTTCTTTACCGATTAATATCATTTGTTTGTAATATTAAAGCAGCACTAAGTAGGAATTCCGTTTTTGTCAAACAGCGACCCCTAGAGTCGCTGTGGAGTACTTGTACTGTCGTGAATAGCACTCACGCAGAGATGGCTCGCACTCACGGCCGGATCCCCTCCCCCTGTACACCGGTACCTGTTCAGTAGGATGGACGCTGTAACGAGTGGAAATAAGGTGTGGCCCCTTTAAGAGCTGCGCGTGCCCTGTTTAACTGTCGGCAGTCTGTATTGTATGTGCGCCTCGAACACCACATGTATACGGCGCCGGGTTATTTCTGTTTGATTTGATTTCTCATTTTATCAGAATTTTATCAGATCTGTTTTTTGCCATAAAGCAATTCGTTACTTCGCGAGACCTGATATCACACGATACTTCCTAACACTGAGGCCGGCGGCCCGCCGGCCCAAAGTTGCAAGGGTGGTTTTGCGGCTCACAGGCACCAGGAGGGTGCGAGACGACCACCATTCAACACGAAATCAGTAATATAAACATTACAATGACTCCAAAGCTGTTCGGTTAAAGCTGCCGTCGGCAACATTTTTTTGATCATATTCAGTGAAATCGACACTATAATCTGACAGAACAACATAAATAAAGTGGTTTTAGAAAAAACCCCAAGCTTCTAACTCCACCTGGAGCTTGTTATTTGTTTTGCAAAAATCCACAGCTCCCGGTTCATCGGGTCCAATCAGCGCAGGGGGGTGTGAGATCTGACTGTCAATCACAGATCGGGCACACGCCACCCCTCGCGCACGTCACAATCACATGCACACGCCTGAAGTTCGCGGAAGTTCGCGCAGTAACGAAGAGTGATGGCGGAAAATCAAGTAAGCTCATTTAGAGTATAAATGACGTTAGCAATTGCAATCTATCGGTACATTAGCCAGGACAGCATACCTCCAAATACTCCATGGTGTTGATGGATGCTGATGAGACGGGCGCGTTCCAGGGCTCTCAAGTTTTGAAGACAGGTAAGAGTGACACCCAGCCGACGGGGGGTTGGATACATTTTTGTCATTGGTTGTTGCGTTAAATCTTACCCAGATACAATAGTGCTATTTTCTGATTGGCTATTGTGTAGCTCGACGAACAACACCAGAGGAAACGCGCTTGATTCATGCCGGTTCTACAGTGAGAGCGGCGCGGCCAGAGTTTTGGGCGCTGCGGCATATTAAATATATTACAAATAGTTTTTCAGCGTGAGAAATACAATGTGTGGCGGGAGAGCGTGACAAAAGACCGAAATGAGTGACTGTCACGCTCAACGCGTGACACTTGAGAGCCCTGGCGTTCACTGAAAATCTGGTGCACACGCATTGACGAGCATGAACTGGGTGGGAGGGTATCCGTTGATAGTGGGGGAGGGGCATGAGAGTTGTAAACATTCAAAATTTTCCTAAATCCACTCAATCTGCCAGACTTGCCGACTGGAGCTTTAAGGTAAAAAAGTTACTTAGTTCACCTTTAAATAGCAGTATTAATTCATAATATTAACATTTTTAGACTTTTCTAAAAATCCTCAATGTTTCATGTGACCCTTTTAAAGATGTGCCAATCATGTGGCAAACATGTCAACTGTTGTTTCAGAGGTTCCTGTAGTCCTTAATGTGTGTCCTTGTTTTTCTCTCTGCATACAGCTGCAATCTGCAGACTTTACCTCCACAGACAATGGAAAAGTAAAAACAGGTAAGGTCAGAAAACGTTACACAAGCAAGATTCTCATCATGCATTAAACCTCCATTATGAATTATGTTAACAGAATAATAATTTTTAATCGAAATGAGTATGAACCAATATTTGGTACACCCCCCTTTGTATTTAATGATTTTTAAAGCTTTTGGACCTCAATGTATTTCCAAAATGATTCTGTGTTGTTGTTGTTTACTTGTTCTAATCTTTTTTTTCTTTTTATGTTTCTCAGGTGTACAGGTAAGATGGCTTTGTTTATTGGATTTAACAAGCATGGCGTTTGGGTTTTATAATTTGCTGACAGCTACAGGCTCTGACATGGAAACCACATCCTGTTCCTGCTACTAATTAGCCTATACTCCTTTTCATGGCTCATGTGATCACCACATACTGTTTGCATACTTAAAGAGGTCCTATTATGCCCTTTTACAAGGTATTGATTTTGTTTTAGGGGTGTTTAGCTTGTTTTAATATTTACATCTGCTTAGATGTAAATATTAAGGATGGCGTCAATTTTCAAACCAATTCAAGCCTGCTTCAGACTTAAGAATGTTTACAAACAGGAGGATCGTCCAGAACGGATTTCATACAAAGACTTTGCAAGCACGGATTTCACAGGACATTTCCGAGTGGTGTTATTTTTTTGTAATTTTCTTATACATTTTAGATACGATGTTATACACCATTTAATCTTGAAACTTGTCGGAAAACTATGGTGATACAAACCGTAATTGATCACAAAACTATGGTTAATTTTCCTAAGGAGCGGTGAACCAGCTTACAAAAACAGTAAACACTACATCAACGCTAATGTTGGCTAGCAGGTGAGCGGAGGCAAATAGCTTTGCCCTTTGTTTACATCGTAGCAACATCATTAAACCTTTCATTTGAACTGTTAATAGAACACGCAACTACAAATAATATGACATAATTACAAGTTGTGATCCACAAACAACAGATTGTCCCAACAAAGAAGCGCTCCATTTCAGGAGAAGCTTTTGCGCGTGGCCTGCGTTGTGGTTCTGGAAGCTGTTCTCCATTAAATGTGCAGCACACAGCTAACACTCTAAGTTCGTCAGCCTTAGGAAGGTCAAACTCATTTTTGGGGGGGGAAAAACAGCGTCTCTTTGACATAGCAGCAGCTCAAGCAGGCCTCGTCCCCTATTTGCGTGTATTCCATAGGCGGGTTTATTTAAATGAGTAACATTATGACTTCACAAGATCCGGAGAAAACGTGTTGTAGTACAAATGAGCTTTGTAACCTTGCAGGTCTTTTTCATGCTCAAACAGCAACATTATTACACACACTAACTAATGTTGAAAAAGTGGAAAAGCATAATAGGACCCCTTTAATAATGAGTCAAATGATCCTGGTTCATTATTATGGATGTAATGAAACCCTCCTCTCTAAATGTACCTGTCTCATATTGATCTCCTTTGTCCTGGGGGGCATTTGTCTCGGGCTGGGGTGGTGGTGTCTTCATAGAATGGCGATTCACAGAGTGGGAGAATGGACAGAGGAAACTCTCTTCCTAGTATTCTGGAACAGAAGGTGAGGCAGATCTTAAGAGACCCTCCAAAGTTTTCATGCTCTGCTTCTCTCTTCTAACCCCATGCCATACATTCACTCACATCCATGTTGCTTCTGCCTTGCATCCATTGAATGCAGAATTCAATATGGCAGTATCACTGAAGGCAACATTGAACTGAAAACTTTGGAGGCTGAATGTGCAGTAAACATTCTCCCTAGAGCAAACCTTTTGGAAGCCTTCGGCCTGTTTTCTGTGTCCAATGAATCAAAAAGGATGAGTACTTAATATATGTTCCCAAAACATAATAAAATCTCCCCTCTCCCTTCAGATATATCCATATGAAATGCTGGTTGTGACCCACAGAGGGCGCAGTAAGCTTCCTCCAGGTGTTGACAGAACCAGATTAGAGGTAAATCCCAAATGAGCATTAGTTAACATTAGTAAAAAGTTAGTCAGTTTGTGGTCTTTGAAAGGCAAAGTCTGTAAATGATTTGCACCTATCAGCTCAAAATAAAAATAATATTAATGAAACAATATTCATAATAAATAATTGTTAAAGTATTATTATTACTATAGTTATTATTATTATTATATTATGTTTTCCAAACACTTCTACAATAGATAAATAATATTTTTTAAATACATTTTTATTATTTTCAAATTGTTCATTTATTAGTATTTCTACTTTTCCCAAACACTTCTACGACAAATAAATAAATATATAATATTTTTTAAAATGCATTTTAATATTTTCAAATTGTTCATTTAAATTGTAATAAAAATAATACATTTTATTAAAATAAATACTGTTTTCAATAAATTATTATTATTGTTGTTGTTTCCCAAACACCCCTACGACAAAAAAAAAAAAAAAATTTAATGCATTTTAATATTCTCTATTGTTCATTTATTCTTATTATAGTTCATTATTGTTAATTATTTATTTATTATTAATTTTTTTTCCAAACACTCCTACACAAATATATATTAAAAAAAAAAATTTGTTTTTTATTATTATTACTACATTTTTCCAAACCCTCCTACCACAATAAAAAATAATAATAATGTATTTTCATAAAATAAAAAAATAAAAAATTTTCTTATTATTATTATGTTTTTCTAAACACTCCTACTACAAACAATAAATGTCAATAAAATAAATAAATATAAGAAATGTATAACTTTTACTTAATATTTTTGATTTCAAATGTTTTCATTAAAAATGACACACGTTTTCTTTTCTAAACAAATATTATGATTATGGTATCCATATATCTCATCTCATATTGGGTGAGAAACAATAAACTGAATTTTTTTCATATAATATCGATTGCAATAATTTGAAGTTAAGCTGTAGGGTTTTGTCTCAGACTGCACGTCTACTGTAATGTGGCTGACTGTTTTTATCGTGTCTTTAACAGAGGCATCTGTCTCCAGAAGACTTCCAGAGCTTATTTGGAATGCCCATCACAGAATTCGATCGTCTGTCACTATGGAAACGGAACGACCTGAAGAAGAAAGTGTCCCTTTTCTAACATTTGGACATTTGGACTCGGACATTGAAACACTCTCCCTCCAGAGACGCTAGTAATAACCACTCTAATCTAATACGGATGCTATGCAGACATTTCAAGATAAGCAAGGAAGATGACGCAACATTACCAGACGTTATTTCAATCACACATACAGCAGTCTCTCAATATGTCTCTGGTGTACATAATAAAGACAGGGATGACTATTCACGCATCCCATACAGTCGCTCCATATCTGAAAACTCGGATTATTAGTGATGGGATATCGATTTCATAAACCGCTCCAGCCCTTTCTTTACGCCTTATGTCTATTTCAAAATCTTAAAGTGCCCAGAGAAGTTTATAATAATAGGCCTATATATTTACACAAAGTTTCAATTGTAAACCATCACTTTTTTGTTTCAACTGTGTTCACTGATATTACACTATAAACTTAATTTATTGTATCCCAAACATGTCTGGCACTGTACATATATCATGTTATTTTGATCTATTCGTGATGCTGCTTAAAAAAACACTAGATGAATATTTCTAACACCTAGAAAAAAATGAAATGTTCCTTTTTCAGTCATTAAAAAATGCATGGACACGGAGTATACATCATTTATTGAGTTTTACCGATAAAAGGCACTGCGATATATGACTCCCATTTGTGCTAATAGCAACAGTGTTATATTGTGGACTAATTTGACATAACTAAGCTCAGGCTTGCTGGAAAGCTCTGGCTTTGGGTTCTCGTACACTGTTGGTGCTTCATGCAGTAGGTTGTAATTACTGAACAACACTAGAATATCTTTGTTCCACACGAAGCCACTAGCAAACCATTTACTTCGATTTCCAATGTCTGTTGTCGATGCATACATACGGTTTTCCACTGCCGTTAGTAGTTATTCTCCATTGCGGTCTTTTGAAATGGCATAGGTGTCATCAAATCATGCTCTGCACACTTAATGGAGACTGTCCAACGTTCATGTGTCTGGTCATAGTTGTCTCATCACCGTTTTTCTGTAACAACACGGTGTTATGTTGAAAAAAATAAAAGCTTCATGTTAGATTTTGTGTCGAGAAACATTTGTTTGGTACATTTTAATTCAATGAACAACCATGGCGCATTATAATCTGCTAACTATGTGCACTTGTCTTGTTAAATAGAACAAAGTTTGGGGTCTGTGAGATTTTGAATGTTTTTGAAAAGTCTCATGCTCACCGAGTCTGCATTTATTTAATCAAAAATACAGAAAAAAACTAATATTGTTTTCTATGTGATAAATGTAATTTATTCTTGTGATATCAAAGCTGTATTACTCCAGTCTTCAGTCACATGATCATTCAGAAGTCATTCTAATATGATGATTTGATGCTCAGGAAGAAACATTTAATATTGTTATCAATGTTGAGAACAGTTGTTCTGCTTCGTATTTAAAAAAACTTTGTGTGGAAACTGATATTTTTTTCAGGATTTTTGATGAATAGAAAGTTCAAAAGAAAGCATTTATTTGGAATTGAAACCTTCTGTAACAATGTTAATGTCAACCTAACACTTCTGAACAATTTAATGCCCTTGCTGAATTAAATAAACAGTTTCTTTTTTTTTTTTTAAATCTTACCCTTTAAAACTTAAAAAAAAATGGTAGTGCATATTTTTACTTTACATTATAAGTTACTACATACTTTAAACTAACTTTTAACATTTTAATTTTTTACATTATATTTTATATTATAAACATGTATTTTTTTATGTGATAAAATAACTTATAACCAATTAACTGGCCTTTAATGTTTTAGAAATGTTTAAATTATAACCATTTTATAGTGATAGAAAAAGGAACTGTCAGTGTACAAAGTATTCACTGATTTTAAGCAACACATGTGGACACCACACTATTAATCACAAAGCAGTTTAAACTATTTAGCACATAACATTAAGACACTTTAATCTAGTACATTAACATAATTACCTGGATATTTAGAGAATAACAGGCACTAAAAAAGTGAACAATGAAAAGTGTTTCCTATTTCCTAGTCTGTCTAGTCTGTTTCATATAACTGAACACAAGGTGTCAGCAGTGTTCAATACTTCTGTCAGGACTACTGTATTGTATGTTCTGAGACTCTCCTCCTATACTTGTATTATAAATATAGTTTTATACTATGTAGGGTTCAATTGAAAACAAATGCCAAAAAAACAACGTATTTTCGCATTCAAATCTTTAGCATAATCGGTGAGAAAAATTGAACAAACTAAGTCTATCATCATCAGCATGTTAAATGTCAAACTAACTTCTACCACACTTTTGGAAGTTAACTTCTAGGCTACTTACTATATCCATGCCGACTCCCCTCCCTCCTGCACCCCCCTCATTAAACAACCTGTCCACAATGTGGAGCTCAATTGTATTCGCAGGAGCGCTGCTGCAGATCTCCATTGTGTGATTGGAGAGGCAAACCCTCAGGTGGCCCATCGGGTCCGTACCTTTCACTTTCTGGAGGTCTAAATGGGCTTCTGGCTGTTTCACTCCCACAATAGAATGACTGGAGACAGGTCACGTGACCACCTGTGAGTCAGACCAAGACAAAAGATTGCCACGGGGAAGCCAAGTGCATTGAAAAAAACACCGCCTCTCTCTACCCGGTTCTGAGACAGCAGCTGATTCAGTGAGTCCGTTTTACCCTGTGCTCGTGCTCCATTGTGCTTGTCTTTAACGTGGCCCACGAACACGGTAATCTGCTATGTATTTTTCCATTCCTTTCATGTCTTCGCAGCACGAAGCTTTAAGACATGAATGACAATTAGGCCTAATGAAACTTTGTATGTGTGGGTGCAGCGAATGTCAAAATGTGCAAAGATATCAGAAGTAAAGCCTAATAATCCCCCATACAAAGCAGCATAAATTCAACTGAAACCACTTTTAAGTTTCAACCCTTCGACTTTGATCCCATTTTAATTAGAGGAAACATGCTAAGTTCGCATACTCGTTTCTCTGAAAAACACTTCTACAGCCAGTTATTTTACTTTGAAATATGTGTTTTGAGGCTGGAATGTTTGTTTTTGTTTTGGTATGTGATATTGCACATTACCAATTTGCCAATTTTCATTGTCCTGTTGCTGTTCCTGTTGCGTGTGCTCGAACTGGCAACCCGTGTGAACGCCGTCCAGTCTGAGGGGCAGGTGGCGGGAGAAACAACGATCTCCGATATTTTGAATAGGACTGCAGTACCTATTTCGACCACTAGTTGTCATTCTTACAGACTGCACCTTTAATTACTCAAAACACAGCGTGCCTAGTCAAGCAGATGCAAAATTGTAAATGTACTTAATTTTGCTGCAGAATTCTAAAACTATAAAGTATAAAATGATCTGCTCATAGTTTGTGCGACTAATATCCTATATGTAGTAAGCATGGATTTGTGTTGTTTTACACGGAAATTTATATTGCTCACGTTTTGTAAATGAGGCCTGTTGAGTGTTGAAACACTTTGAAATATCATCATCTATCATCATCTCATTTTGAAGTTTTTATGATGCATAAATTGATGATGAAGCAAAAACAGGCAGCCTTAAGATCACTTCAGCCGACTTGATTTTGCATATCCAAAGCCCGCCAAAACTCCACAAATGTTGTCTTCCTATGTAGATTAAGGTTAAAGTCACCATGAAATCAAAATTGAGAAATCAAAACTGAATTAATCTGTAATTAAAATAACTTCCCCTCCCTCTTGTAGTGACATCTCTTCTCTGATGACGTGTTTACTGGCGCGAGGGCGGGACAACCTGTCAATCACATGAGATCGACCAATAGCAAACCACAGCCATCCAATCAATTCCACATGGAAAAAGTAAAGTCCTGCCCTACATTTTGTCTTGTTTGAGAAGCCGTTTCACTCGGATATAGGCCTTCGTCAAAATAGGGAAGAAAAGCCTATCGCAACTTGCGTTTCATGGTGGCTTTAAGCAAAGTTCAGAGTGTATTTATCACCCAGAAGGGGAAATGGAGATGGCAGAAACTGTCACTTCAATGGAGCAATGTTGTGGGATGGAGAAACCAGGGCAGATGGCTAACCCTCAAGTGAGAAGATCTAATTCAGAACTTACATTTCAGTACACAAATGAAAGTGTGTGCAGAAGGCCTTGAGCAGCACTCAAAAAAGTTATGTGATGATTCTGAGCAGCAGACTTGCACTATTTCCTTAGTGCTTAAATGATGCATCTTGCAGCTTCATCACACCTCCACTCATGGTGTAGATGCGTGTGGTTCTTCTGCCTCTGATGCAGCCGTCATGTTTCATCTGCACACTCTGCTAAATTGTTTTGCAGAGGCTCTACACATATTAGCGTTTATTATGTCCAACTTTCCTCAAAGAAATGAAGAGTTAGAGATATGTGGGCAGAGAATCAGTTTGATTCCATTTCATAAGCTCTAGAAGAGCTCCTTTAATTCGATTTCGATTAATTCAGGCATTTATAATGTCCATTTTGATTTCATATGAAATAAGGTGTCAATTCTACAGGGCCGTGTTTCAGATTTATCGATCTTGAGGAAGTATTTGTTTAACATTTGTATCAGTCAGATTTAAAATGCTGACTTTAAGTAAACACATTTGCGCTAATCACATTCAAGACCTACAACATGGTAAACAAGCATCGGAGACACTTGGGCTTCTAGCATATTAAAGCTAATGAAATGCATGTGTAATCGAATATTCATTAGGGTAATGTTTATTAAGAAAACATGAGTATCGAGACAGTTAGGTTTATACACCATCTTACAAAACAAACACTGAGTGCAAAGCATGTACAAGCAGAATACTGATACAACATGTGTTGACTAAGAAGTTTATATTAGAAATATAATATTTAGCACATCTGGTCACAATATGTACAATCTTTCTATATGCAGAACTTGAATCCCTTTGTGAATCAATGTATTTCGCCGTTTAGATTACATTACATCAGACAACAACACATTTACATTGGAAAAATGCAGATCCAAAAAAAAAGGGACAATAAGGCAATGTGCCACAGGCCTAATATATCAAGGGTTAATATACACTCCTAAACAAAATCTTAAGACCGGGGGAAACATTGCAAGTATTCGCATTTCGCGCTGGTGGATCATAACCGGGTTGTAAGTACTGCTTCAAAATGCCAAAAGAAGAAACAGGAGCAAGAGACAAAAAATAGAGAGTTGGCAATTTATTGAAAACTGCATTTAAACTTAAACGGGCTGTTCATCAGCTGATCAAAAGTTTAAGACCATAGCCCAAAAATAAACCTACAACAGAACTAAAAGTGTCAAAAAAGGACTCAGTAGTGAGTAGCCCCACCGTTCTTGTTGATCACTTCAAAAACTCGTTTCGGCCTCCTTGATGC